CAATGCAGCATAATATTCCATTGTGTGAATATACCACAACTTTTCTATCTATTCGTTTGTTGATGGGCACTTAGGTTGTTTCCAACTCCTTGCTATTGTGAACAAAGCCGTGATAAACTTGGGTGTGCATATATCTGTTTGAATGTCAGTGATGGTCTCTTTGGGGTATATTCCCAGTAGTGGAGTTGCAGGGTCAAATGGTATCTCTATTTGCAATTTTTTGAGAAAGCACCATACCGCCTTCCACAGTGGTTACACCATTTTACACTCCCACCAACAGTGAATAAGGGTTCCAGTTTCTCCACAACCTGGCCGGCATTCGCTGCTTGCTGTTAAGTTTTGCTATTCTGACTGGGGTGAGATGATATAGTTGTTTTGAGAGTTTCACTTTTTGAATGGTTAAGTACTGTGGAGTTGAGTACATCTTATACCGACCCTAAGAGCAATAATAACAGATCTGAACTCTGTCCTATCCTGCACCTACTCTATAACTGTCCTCCTGTATGTTTATGTTGGTCAACAAGAGGGTTTAATGTTCAATTCGGAAACAAAACATTAAAATGGTTTGCAGACTAACAAGTAGTGAGGAGAAGTATTACTACATAGAGAATGTTGCAACTAATCTCATAAAACAAAATACGTATTAATTGTGCAGCAGTGTAGCTATATAACCTTGGGCAACCTGTATGATTTCTCTTGGTCTCATAAAGCAGTGATTAACAATACCCACCTCATAAGGGTAAAAGATTGAACCTGTGTAACATGTTCCCTGCAGCACCTGGCAAATTGTAACTTATTAAACATGGGCCATATTATTTTTTATTTTTGCCTGTTTTGAGTGTCTCTCTACGATTTGCTATTTCTGTTTCCTTTATGGAAACAAAACAATTTTTAAATCCACTTATTTAAGGCAAGGTGATTTTAATTTTTAAAGAATAAAGCCGTGAAAAGGAATTAAAAAGTCACATTAGGGGCGCAAAGGGAAGAAAACGTTGGGAGGAAATAAGAAAAATGTTGAGGATGGAGTGTAGAAAGCAGGACCTGCTGAGATGGAGAGTTAAGACCTGCTGTGAATGGGGATGAAAAGAAAGAAGATTCTGCACGGTGGTTAAAGCACTCAGCTGCTGACAAGGAAGGAAGGCGGTTTTAAGCCACAAGGCCCTCAGGAAGAGAGTTGTATCCGTATGCTTACATAAAGCATATCTCTTTGGCCCTAGGAAGTTCTACTTTGTCCTACAGGGTCATTATGAGAAGCCACGCCATGAAAATAAATTCAGGCTGAGAAAGAGGAATTCCCCTTAAAGCAGCTATCCCAGGGCTGATGGGCGTGGCCGTGACTGGAAGAGTCGGAGAGCTGGCGAGAAGGACGAGGGAGAGGAGAGAAGCGCGGCGCCCACAGGCAGTAAAGAAGTCGGCACTTCTGCCGGGTGGGACCAGCGCGGGGCGGGCGGGAACAGGGGGCGTGGCTCCCGGGAGCTACTGGGCCGCGGTCGGAAGCCCGCGGGGGGCGTGGCCCGTGGAGAGGCGTGCCCCGCAGAAAGGTGGCCGAGGAAGCCGCGGGGAGGCGAGATGGGCGGGGAAGAGGCCCGGCCCAGTCAAAGAGGCGGGTTGAGCCGTGCAGGGGCCGGGCGGGGGCCGCTAGTTTGGCCCCGCCCCGTACCGGGGCCGCCTCCACCGGGTTCCGTTGACTGTGGCGGTGGTGGCTGCAGAGCGGGCGTAAGATGGCGACAACGGCGGCGGGAGCCCTTGGCCTGCTGTGGGGCTGGCTGTGGAGCGAGCGCTTCTGGTTGCCCCAGAACGTCAGCTGGGCTGACCTCGAGGGGCCGGGCGATGGCTATAGCTTCCCGCGAGCCCGGCACGTCCTCTCGGTATTCCCGCTGGCGGCGGGCATATTCTCCGTGAGGCTGCTCTTCGAGCGGTAAGGACCTGCAAGGGAGCGGCGCCGAGAGCCGGGGTGACCCGGGGGGATCGGGCGCTGTAGTCGCCCGTGGCCAGAGAGGCCGAGGACCGGAAGCAGAACTGAAGGGAGAGCTCGGAGGGAGGGGACTGGGGGAGTCTGGGCCGCCTAGGAGGTGCGTGGGGGTACCGAGAGGCAGGGTGAAGTCAAGACTTGGGGCGTGGGCCCATTCACATTCACATCCTGGAGGTGTGCTAGGCGCTCTGTGGGCCTTTCCTCCAGCCAGCCTCCAGCGTCCACACATGAGGAAACAGGTTGAGCGGGAGCTCGGCCAGAGATCCCCAAGTGAGGAGCAAGAGCGAGCGGGGGGGGGGAGAACTAATAGGGTCCATAGACCTTGAAGGGGATGCTTAGAAATCAAAGAAATCAGTAAGGCCTTTGTTTAGGATAAAGTGTGTGTTGTGTATTTTCAGAACAGTCGCCTCACTTTTGGAGTGGAAATAGAAACCCGGTAGGCGTGGATATGGTGGAGCCCGAAGTTTTCAAAGTATAGAAAAGTTGTCAGTTGCAGAAGAGCCCTAGTGCTTAGTAGAGGTTAAGAGAGTTTAGTTGGAATCTCAGCATATGTTCCTGATAACAGTGATTTCACCTATCTGAGTGGAATGGGTCACAGCTCCTGTCAGTGATAAAGTTCTTTACTGAGGACTTAATGTGATCCTGTTTGTGGATTGATATCTGAGTGCGGTTTTTTTGCAAATCGGCTCAGACTCAAGGAAGCTCTGGAGGGCCTAGTGGTAAAACGCTGCACTGCAATCCCAAAGGCACGTGGTTCTAATCCACGAGCCCTTCCACGGGGGACGGCTGGTCAGTTTCCTTCTGTGCGATTTCCTAACCCTGAAACCCACTGGACGGTGGTAAGCTGTGAGTTGGCTGTGGCTTGATGGCACACAGCAACTCAGACTCCAGGGAGGAACCGTCTTTCTGCATTGGTAACAGGATATCTTTTGTTTATTTTGCCTTTTTTCAAAAGTAGAAATTAATGTAATGCAAAAATACACATTTCTAGGATAGAAATGTGTTGGAGATAAAATAACCTGTTACTCCCTGAAAAGTTAGTATTATGTTGTGGCGTATGTCTGATTTGCCTACTATTTTAGACATAAATAGGTCTTTCAGAAATTTTTGTTGTAGGTAGCACATCATTCATCTCTTTGTGATTTGTGTATTGTTATCAAAACACTCTCCTGTTCAAGTGTAAAAATGAAGATGCTCTTAACAGAAGCAGTGAAACCTGAAAATCAAAATAAATGCCTCTTTAGGAACTTAAGTATTGCAGTTATTTCAGTTCGTCATTGTATTACCTATTATTAGAGTGGGGGCACAAATCATTTTTCTCTCTTGGTTGTTAGCTAGAACTAAGCGCCCTGCGGTATGACAGCTGGAAAAAGAGAAGGGCAGTGTAATGACTAAAATGGAAAAGATAACAGTTCAAGATGGGGGAAAAGTTCATATTTTTGGGAAAAGATTCTCTGCTTTTTCTATAAATGTATGCAAATATGGAAATTTCCTCAGGTTAAGACATGACAAGAAGTGATTTGTTGCTTATAAACCTCTGCTGTATATAAATGTATTTATACCTTTAGATTTCCAATGGATTCCCAAATGGCTGTAGACATATATCCCTGGCAGAGCCACTGGAAAGGATCCTTTACTTGTGGGAATTGTATCTGAATGTTTCTATGGTGCTCAGGTGTCAGGGGAATAGGGATGGAAGGGAATACTGGGTTAAAAGCATTCTAGCATGATATTTCTTGGCTATTAAGGACAGGCACCTTGTCTTATATTTACCGTTGGGAAAGTTAACCTTGTCGGCAATCTTGTTATTGTGTTTATCTTTTAAACTAATTCATTGCCTTCTAGTGAGAGCCAACTCATAGCTGACTTGCCAGTAAGTTTCTGAGGCTCTGAATCACAGGAGAGGAGATTGCCCATCTCCTCCCTCAGAGCTGCTGGTGGATTTCAAACCATCAGAGATGCTCAGCCTTTAGAGTAGCAACACAGTGCCCTAAGGATTATGCCACCAGAGTTTCAGACCCACTTCTGTTGGCATTTCCGACACACCAGCCCTGACAAGGGACAGAGATTAGGCCATCTGCTCCCATTAAGATTTATAGCCTTGGAAACCTAATGAAGGGTCACCACAAGTGGCAGTCAACTTGATGGCAGTAGGTTTGGGTTTTCATTTGTTGGCTTCTTTTTTGTTTATATCCATCCTGGTGATGTGGTTAAAGAATTCAGTTGCTAACCAGATGGTCACCAATTTGAACCCACAAGCACTTTGGGAGAAATATTAGGCAGCCTGTGTTTGTAGATTTACAAGCTTGGAAACCCAATGGACAGTGGTACTTTGTCCTGCAGCAGGGTCACTGTGAATCAGAATTAACTTGACAGTAGTAGGTGCCTAACTTAGTAATAGCAGTGACAACTAGTTTGCCTGTTCCTCTCTTGTGATCAAAGGAGATAGAAGACATCTTACAGTATAGAAAAAATATAGTTGAAATATTGGTACAGTTAATATTCTTTTCCTTTTTCTCATATATCATTTATCTCTTTAGCATTAAAGGACAATTTATATAGTAATCATAAAGTTTAAACACTAGAACTCTAATTTCCTTTCACAGGTCACCTCCTTTCTAAGTTTTTACTGAAGGCTTAGAAACATCTAAGAGCTTTTCAGAGGTGGAGTGCTCATGTTCGGGGATAGCTGGAATCAGGATCCAGGCGCAGTTGTGCTGCCAGCCTGGTGGTTTGAATCTACCAGCTGCCCTGAGAGAGAAAACTGGGTGATATCCAGTGTGATTTACAGCCTCTGAAATTTCACTAGATGTATTCCGACTCAGTGACAGTGATATATGTATGAGATAGATGTCTTATTTCTTTTTGTAATTGAGATTTTAATGAAAGTTTATAGAGAACTTGGATTTTTTCCATTCATTCATTGTTGCACATTTTTCTCCCTGCTCCCCCAGGTCACTTTTCTCTTTGGGAAAAAAAAATTCTTTCATTGTTGTACAATTCCTCACCCCCACCCCAGTCTCCTTTACTGTGCAGCTCTTATTCTGGACTGTTGTCATGCAAATAGTACCTAATCATGTAATCCTTTTAAGCAGTTCTTTCCTCCATCTGTTTCCATGCAGTGTACATTATTTATCCCCTTTTTTTAGTTTCACCCAACCCCGATGTCAGTCCTGTTTTGCAGCAGTAGCTTTAACCAATATTTGTCCTTTTGTGACTGATATATTTCACTCAACATAATGTCCTCCATAGTCACCCATTTGGTGTAATATTTCATGAGTTCCTTGTTTTTCCAGTGCTGCATAGTATTCCATTGTGTGAATATACCGCAGCTTCTCTATCCATTTGTTTGTTGATGGGCTCTTGGTATGTTTCCATCCTTTTGCTATTGTGAACAACATAGCAATAAACATGTGTGTGCCTATATCTACTTGTTCTGGTTTCTTTAGGATATAACTCCAGGGGAGCTCTGGTGGCCTAGTGGCAAGAAGCTGCACTGTAATCCCAGAGGCGCACAGTTCGAATCCATCAGATGCTCTGCCGAGAAAGGAGGAACAATCTCCTCCTGTACCAGTCAGATCTGATTTGACAGTACACACACACACACACACACACACACACACAAATAATAAAATTTTAAAAAAAAATTTAAAAAAAGGATATAATTCCAGTAGGGGAATTGTCGGGTCAAATGGTATTTCTATTTCCTACTTTTTGAGAAAGCACCATACTGCCCACCAACAGAGAATAAGGGTTCCAGTTTCTCCACAACCTCGCCAGCATTTGTTTGCTGCTCTGTTGAATTTTTTTATTCTTACTAGAGTGAGATGATATCTCATAGTTGTTTTGTATCTTATTTCTTAAATACTCCAAAGTTAAGACTCACTGCCACCCGCAGTCTATCTAGTATTCTAAGATATGGAGAACAAATCCAAGTTTATTTTATTCCTGATTATTTAATATAATGAATTTAACTTCAACCGTGTCTTTTATCTGTGCTTATTTCAAAGTAAATCTCTGCATGCCCTGAAGAACTGCTGCGTCCCCTCATGGTAAGGACCTGAAGTTGTTGTTGTTTTTGTTGTTGTTGTTGTTGTTAGGTGCCATCATGTTGACAAAAACTCATAGCAAACCTGTGAACAATAGATATAAACTTTGGCCTAGCCTCCAATATTTTCATGATCTCTGATATACTTGAGTTCACTGTTAGTTATAGGTACTCTTTCATTCCATCTTGTTGAAAGTATGCTCTCTTTTTTTTTAATTTTCTTTTGTGTGTATGTGTGTTTGTGTGTGTGCGTGCGTGCCATCAAATTGGATCTGACTGGTACAGGAGGAAAATGTCCCTCCTTCTCCAGCAGTGTATCTGGTGGATTCGAACTGCACACCTCTGGGATTGCAGTGCAACTTCCTTAAAGGACTGGCGTCTTCTGGCAACATGCTCAAAGTATGTGAGATGAAGATGCACTATCTTAGCCTCTGAGGAGCACTCTGGTTGCACTTTCTTCAACGTTACTGGACCATCAATAAAGCGTTCATATCTATTTTGTCCAAGAACTGCAGAAATGAAATAATTACCTATCAAAGGCCCTTTCTGAACATTCCTTTGTGGACCTCTGCTAACTGGTTACACATGGTGCCCTGCACCTTTCAGAAATGTCTTGGATGTAAAGTCTGGCCAATAAACACTTACTGAACAGATTGAGAAGGATTTCCGTAGTGGCTATCTGTGAAAAGAAATTGGATTTCTAGCTCTTAGAATTTACATTCCTAAATAAATTGCTTTTTAAAACTAAACAGATAAGATAAAAGAAATGAGAAAATGTAAGAAAGATGACTAACTGTACTGGTATTTCAGCTGTGTTTTGACTATATTGTAGAATGGCTTCTCTCTCCTTTATTCTAGCCTAACAGAGAGGAATTGGATATCCCATAGTTATCTGGCT